TGTCGGAAATAAAACAAAGACGCCGCTGAGAGGAATTTTCCCGTCAATATCGGCGTCGCGCGGACTCACCAATTTCTGCGCATTTATCAGATTGCCTTGCGCGTACAGATGATGCGTAGGCGAGTGATCATTCAAGGCCCTCCACGCCTTCTCCAGCAGCCGCGGGGACACCAATTTCAGGGGGATGTTTACCGGGTTCGAGTGAACCGCCTGCGCGAGGAGACAGCAGAGGTAGACGAGCGTGAGAAAATCCGCGCGGCTTCGTTCTGCCATTTTGCGAGACGCGCGTCGTCGCGCTTAGACTCTCCTTCGAATCGACCGCGCTCGAATGACAGATGAAAAGTTATCCCGGACTGTCAGCGACCAACTGACGCGCGGCCGCCAATTCCTCTCAGCTGCGCTGATTTGCCCTTCCATACGCTTGGACGGGATGGAGCGAGAGAAAGAAAGAGCGAAGGAAGTGCAGAAAGTACACCTAGGAGGATCACGGATTTATTTTTTTCCTTTTTTTTTAATCTGTTAACTGTTTAATCGATTGCATCTTTCTGCGTCATTTGTGTATAAATTTTGAATTATTGTATACGTGTGAAAAATAATTTTAGACTTTATTATGAGAGGATCATAGAGGAACGTGATCATTTCGTGATCATCTGTTTCCTTCGTCTCTTTTCCATCGAACTCTTTCCCATCGAATATATTCTAATCTAACTTTCTATATATAAAAAAAAGTGCAAAGAGGTAGATATAATCAGAACAGTTAAGATGATGCAACTTGTTTGCAATTGCATTTTCTTTAACTTTCTGTACTGAAAACATCGTACATATATTCGTGTTTTCGAGGGAGTAGGATAAGACGAAAGCAAGGTGCAGAAAGGTGCTATGTAAATAGAATGGCGTGAATTGCCGCATGAAATCATTGATATCCGACAAATCTGGCTTTCATATCGTATAGAAAAATATGCAAATTACTGCTTGGAACATAACTTGCGGTGCATTATGCAACACAAGCATAATGAATATGATTTTATACTCATTTAACCTGATGATATATTTCAGATAATCAAGAATTATCGAGAACAGATTCTGCAAAGAATGTCTTATAAAATTCGTTAGCTTCGTTGCAAATAAAATGAATATTTTGCTGAAAATAAATATGATTTATTAATTTATTTTTATACTCATATGTCTTTATATATCACCACATCGATATATATCTTTATAATCTTCACATATTTTTAAATATGGTCTCACTTTTTTATAAATTACCGTATATTCTCATATATCCTTATGCAATTCGTCTCTTCATACTTTCATAAATCCGAGATCAATATTTGTAATTTTTCATATTTTATAAAAGACTATTTTAAGTACAAATATAAAATGTCATTATTATGTTATTATTATTCAATCACAGAGTCACATTAGTAGCTTGATGAAGATGAAGATGAAGATTATAAGATATTAAAATTTCAATTTAGTAAACGAGTAGATTCGTCATCGGTCTCTTTAAAAGTAATCAACGAAGGCAGACATAATCAAGGTTACGACATGTGTAACATATACGTACATATATTCGAGCTAAATCGCTATTCACGTGTCGCGTACAACGAGAGCGTGCATTTAATCAGTTTAGCCGAATCTAGACAATTGAGCCTAAATGCAAGGAAAACTCAACTGTGCGCGTTAAAAACAGATTTAATCGCATATTACTTGGAGGATTTCCCGTGATTAATCGCTAAAAACGTAACATGCCATGAATACAATAAAATATGTTTACTCGAGTTATATCGCGATTCCATGTTTGTGTTACAAATAAAAAATTTTTATTATTAATGTCTTTTGTTAATAAAATGCCTCAAAATCTTTGAGTATATATATATATATATATATATACACT